AAAGGCAAGGTGTACAGTCCAAGCGTGCTGAGTACAATGAAACCCACTATAGCAATGACAGGTAGGTATGGTACACTTTGAAGGATCTCGAACCAACCATAACAAGCCAAAAGAAGCATGGAGACGGTCATGCCGAACGTTGATATAATTCCAGCACGTCGCCGGCCCCACTTTTCTAGGACATAGCCCATGGGGCAGGTTGTCAGAACTCTTGCTGTTCCAATGAGCACGGCGCACATAAACGGATCAATGGAGACGCCTGCCTCGGTGGAGATTTGCACAGCGTACACAATGACCACAAATATTCCTGACAGCTGTTGGAACGCAAACAGAGCCATCAAAATAAGCAGCGGCTTGTAAACCTCGGGCAATCTAAGGCAGCTTGAGAATGAGGGTTTCCTCGCACCATCGCGAAGTTGCAGCGACTTTTGTAAAACGTTAAACTCCTCCAATATTTCGGGATGTGTGATGTGGGCTATATTTTGAGTAAAACGTATGCAAATGATCTTTTTTTTTTTTTAATATAAATTGACTTACGTGTATTTTTCAGTCCTCGAAAATAGTTTAATGACTTCTTAGCTTCCTCCACCCGGTTCTTAGACAACAACCAGCTATGCGACTCTGGCAGTGGTATCACGCACAGCAGCGCGGCTATCTGATAACCACAGCAAATCAGCGCAATTAGTCGAAAATCATCCCGTACAAAATAGCCAATGCTATAAAGAACCGTAATGCCCAAAGCCACTGATATAGAGGTGCCAAGTATAAGACTTCCACGTAATTTGGGTAAACTAATCTCCGCCGCATAAACACCAGATGGTGCACTGGCTAGCCCCATGGTAATACCTGAAAGGGAAAATAAGTACATACATATATCATCAGCTGTTAAGTCAATAAACTCTGATTATGTTTGTTTCTCAAATTAAGTACATTTACTCCAGAAAATTTCATTATTAAAATTTTGTACAATATGAACCCTCGACATTTCAAAATGTGCATAAAGAAGGTGACACTTACCAATAATAAATCGTGACACAAGCAACTGCCAGTAAAAAGATACTGAACTTGTCGCACTCGGTGTGGCAAGCAGTGCCCAGGATGTGATACCCAGAATATTCAACACATAAAGAGTATGTTTGCGTCCAATCCTATCTAGCAGCAGACCCGACAATAGCCCGCCCAATGGACACGACAAAGTGTTGATTGAAGCAAACCAGGATGCCTGTGTAGCATTCAAATACACCGTCTCCATTTCGCTTGTCAGCTGGCGCAGTACAATTGTGGGAATAGCTAGTGCCAATCCAGTTGACATTACGCCCATATTGGCCAGTATGACCATCAATGCCTGACGACGTACTGCGCGTGATTGCTCACCCAGTGGCTTTCTTTTCGGTAACCGATCTAAATCACTAATAATATGTGGAGTTTTGTAATCCCTTTTCTTGTGATGACCATTGTACAGCTGATGTTGCTCCTCCTCTATTTCATGGTCCATTTTGCAGGTCGTCTGAAAAAATATTTTGAGATCGTCCCATTATATTTCGCTTGTATGACCTGCTAATTTTTAGAGTTCATGCTGACGATGTTGTGGCATTAACACACTGACATACTAAAGATTATCAAGATGTTTGTACTGTAATAAATGAAAATATTAAACTTACTATAAATAGATAAGCATTTAGCTCCCAATATTTTGTAAAAGAGAGCAGCAAAATCTTATCAGCATATATTTCAGATAGCTGATATAGAATAAGTATATACCATATAGTACTTTTCATGTCAAATCTATTTTACCCTCTGCTTTTATACAATTGCAGTCATGCCTCTGAGTCATAGAGATGCAATGTCCCAGCTAATAAAACTGAGGCACAGCTTCGTTGGTCTGATATGTTTCTATCTACTCTATTTACATATATAATTATTATGAGGAAGTACGAATGGGTACTAAGACTGTTCAGACCTGGGTATAGGGTAGCTGCTGATTGAAACCTCTCGACTTGTGTTTTTACTTAGTTCGTAATATTATTATCGCTCTCGCTTGAAAATCGTTCAAGGTGAGTCAAGCCGATTAAGTATTTAATGATAACAAATTACTCAAATAAAGGTTCTCTTGTCGAGAGTGTCTGACTGGGACATCTCCTGTTCCAAGTTACGCGACAGAAATTATTCCAAATTTATACATACCGCTTAAAGTGTCTTTCATACAAAATGGACCAACAAACCGGGGGACCTGGATAAATAGACAGACTTCATTTACATGCCTTGTGAGACCGGTGATGCCACTGGCTGGCTGATACATACATTTGAATAAGTGCATTATACCCTTTAAACCTATTTTTAATAGGCAGAGGGTACAACATACATGTCCCAACTAATAAAATCAGTAGAAGTACTGATACTTATATACACCTGATATACAAGATACTTTTAATGTAATGGCTTTAAGTTGTTTATAAATAGCCATGGAAAAAAAAACAACAATTAAAGAGCCAATCAACTTAATAAACACTAATAAATAATAGACTTGCGTAAACGATTCTCTTGCGATCCCAATTAACGGACACTCCAGAGCGGCATGAGTACCAATAAATGTTTTTGTCATACATAAAAGAAGGCTTCAATCCAAAAGAATATCACGTGCCTAAATATTAAATAGTCACTTTCCAAAAATCTTTAAAAACTGGTTTCTCCTCAATAAAATGAGAATTAGAAAACCGGCTTAAATAAAACAACGTCACGACTACACGGGCCGCAGAAAAAATTCACTCAAAACAAACTATTTTAAACATACTTGCCTGACTTATGTTTAGATATATAGCGCAGACGCAAACGCTGGCGGCAGCAAAGTATTGGCTATATCGAAGGCGCTCCTTTGCAATCCGACATCAACGAGACGTTACGAACAACTAAAATTAGCTTGTCACGTTAAAAGTCTCGCCAACTATAAGATCCCTCAAATGAAAAGTATGTGGCCACAAAACACCCTGCTAAAAGTTTATAGATTGCCGCCAACTACACAAATATATATTATCTGTTCATGGACATTTTTAGTTTTTCAGTTGACAATTTTTTTGTTAGCAAATTTTGAATATAAAATTTTTTGCAGACCTACATTTTTGGTTAAATAAACAGAGTATTTGTGGAGTAAGTATTTATAATACTTTATATATACTGAATTATTTGTCCTCATCGAATCCACTTGTACAATACTTAATGCTTTTAATGTATAGGGTATCAAATCTATCGGATTTGTATGAACAGTTCTCTGATCCTCTCTTTTTATCTCTCGCTGTCTCTCTCTCCTCTACCGCTTTATCTCTCTCCTTCACTCAACTACAAACGCTTTGCAGCAAGCAATAAAGTATTGTACACGTCATCAACCATTCGATTTTTTATGTCATGATCGTTTCAATCGTCGACAAAAAGTTTTTATCAAAAACAAAAGTTCAATCAATTTTAAAATAAAATTAAAGTCTGTAACTCTTACAGCTTTTAATATATACATGTGTATGATCCTACATTCATTTGTATAATTATTTGCTTGTGCCTTATCACTTATCAAGTGAGTAAAAGCTGCGAACATCACAGGCAGTCCAAATTATACGCTCATAAATATGAGATAGACACACAAAGTAAAGTTTCCTTCATGTTGTTATATAGTAACTCACGTTATCTATTCAAAGTTATACTTAATCTGTAATCAGTTTGTATATTACACACTTATTCTTCTCCTACCCAGGCTGGCAGGGAAAATTGACTTTAAATAAACGAATGGTCTCTTATCTTTTATCTTTTTAAACAAAATAAAAGTTTACATTTGCTTGAGCGTAAATATGGCAGCTAATATTAATAAAAAATAAAAAACAGCAAGGCCTGAACCTGTCAATCAACCTGTATTTTTAGTTAGATTAGATAAAAATTATTAAAAAGAACATTTGGTCAATATAATTTTCGAGTTGACTGAAAAAGCCGTTAGAAGGGCGAGTGTCATAGCAGCGAGCAAACAGTGCGTAATTCTATTTCAACAGAGCTGTATTGAATGTTATCGAATAATAATAATACTAACTAATGACAATAGACAACACTAAAGCAAGTGAAAATATAAGATGCAAATTTCCTTTAGTAGCCAAGAGAATTGCATTTTATTGAAGTCTGTGGAGAACCGGGAACGTGTACAGAACACAAACGCCGCGGACACGCGACGCCATCCTAACCTACCATAAATATGGGATGCTTATCAATTCCTCTTGACAATTGCCTGTGAACGTAAAAATCAAAACCACAAAAACGCGTAACTACAAGGAGACTCAGCGTAAAATTATTAGATAAATCATCATGTTGATTTGTTAAGTGCATTGTTGTCGCAATATTAAAATATCTCCACTTGGTGTGTAAAGAGAAGACTTTGTTTATGTGCCGTTGTGTGTACTCTTGAGCGTGCGGTGTATAAATACATATATATGTATGTATGTATGTACACGCGTGTAGTTCCGCTTTGGCTCTCTGTTTGTGTCAGTCAGTATTCTGCTTAAAAGTTAACGCTAAAAATCAATACAAAAGCAGCTATATTCAAAGTTGCATTCTCTGCAAATATATTTCGTTATTTATCATTAAAAGTTAATGCAATCAGCGCCTAGACTAGGGCGTAAATCAAATCCACAGAAATATAAATTGTATTTTTAACAGGTGTTGAATTCCAGGGCTAAGCTCATGCATTCGTCGCCCAAATAGCGCCCATAAAATCACAACCAGCACACCCAAAGAGACTACAATTGCTTAAATGAGTAATAATATGTATTGCACGGCTTGTGCCTGTCAATTATTGTTATAAGTTAGATTAGATAGAAATGATTAAACAAAGTGTTACTCGTATAATTGCCGAGTGATTAAAAACAGAAGGCTGAGTGTCACAACAACGAGCAAGGGTGAGTTGGCCCTTGTGCGCAAAACTATTGCAACAGCACCGCAAACGATATTATCGAATAGTCTCCATCATTTTAGTATTAGTCAACACTAGATATAGTGAAAATATTGCTTGCAAATTTCCCTTTGAAGTCGAGAGAATTGTTTTGCTCAAAAGTCTATGGAAAACCGGGAACGCGCAAACAACATTAGGGTAGCATACGCGCGCGTGTGAAAATAACACATATATATACACATATGAACCCCAACCAACCAAACACATGGAAGCTTATCAACAGTCTGCGAAAGTAAACATCAAAACAACATAGACGCATAGACGTTTTTTACTGAGAGAGCGAAGGTGCAGCGACGGCCGCTGTGTTTCATAAATAGCAAAAGCCTTTTTATTGTGTTAATTTGTTAAGTGTGGCGTCACTTTCTAAACAATTTTGTTTATTTTCTGTTGTGTATGTGCACTGTCGAAGTGTTTAACAATATTAATATAACTTTAACAATGCTAAAACAATATCTTCTATAATTCGGCTCTTTGCGTCTCGTGAGTGTGCGCTGCTCTGTATAAATTCCTGTGTGTGTGTGCCCCGCTTTCGGTTCTCTGTTTGTCTCAGCATCCTGCGAACAAGCTTACGTTTAAAAGCAATGCGAAAGCAGTAACAATCAAAAGGAAAATCGTTCACTGTCAACAATCTCCGAATTTTTAATTTTATCACTAAATGGATTGCCGACAGTGCTGAAACTGAGCTATCCTACATAAGCAAAAAAAAAACAACAAACATTGCAGTGGTTGGACAAGCATTTCATGGCAGGCTCCATCTAGAGCATTCGTCACCCAAATGATATAGCCCATAGAAACCCACACCAGCACAACACGACGAACTCTACGTTCAAGCGCGTTATACAGTGATTATCCCCTAGTAATTTTAATGTATGTGTGTGCAGTGAAAATTCCGATTAGCAATTCAGGTGACACTGCAGCATTCATCGTACATCATCAGCAACAACAAATCTAAAACAATTAAAAGAAAAGAAAGAACGAAATCAACGCATCAAAATGACTACAGATTTTTTATTTCCTAAAATTGCGGATTGCTCCTATGTGTCCTGTTACTGGTTAGTAGTATCCTTATGTTGCGTCAGCAGCCCAATCAAAACTAAAATAAATATATATAAATGCTACATTTCTTAAGTCATTAACAGTGATCTCTTTTATTACAAACAATTCAAGTTAACAATATATTTTAAACATGGGCCTTGTTCTTACATGAACATATAACTATATAAACAGAATGTATTTTTGTATAATCTAATCTTCAATATACACAATGACATATTTTAGAATATTACGTATTTTCAAAAATTAAAACGTACGTCGCTTGTTCTATTCCGTTGCGTGCTTATTGCTCGTTGAAATTCCTTGCTTCGCATTTTAATTTACTCATTACTCGAGTCTACCTCTCTTGTTCTTCCTATCGCGGCGCCGCCACCAGCTCCAAAATTGGGTCAAACGGTCATGTCTGTTAACAAGAGCAGTGTCAATGTATGAGGATTGCGTGGGTTGTAGCATTGGCCTGGCCATGGAGGGATTTCGTTTGTTGCTTTTTTATTATCGCATGTAAAAGGCGCGTTTTGCCTATAAACAGGCTACAAACGACAACAATAAAAGCAAAAACGAATCAATACACATACATATAACACATTACTTGGTATTGTGTATAATAATGTTCATGTTACAATTATAAATGTGAATTGCAAAAATAGCGCGTTAGCAGGCCACAACGGGCCGGGCATCATAATGCTGTGAAGCCGTAAAACCTGACATACATACATATACATATATTAACATCAAACTTTGCCTAGCTCGCAATAACACATTTCGTTAATTATTTTGTTAAATGCAAGTGTATTAACATTTGCACTCAGATTCACCATAAATTTTTTGCGTCCCATGTACAATGTTGCAATAAAATAAACACTTGCGCGCTGTCCTGCTTCTTCTTTCTCTGTCATGCGCTCTGCCTTTCTCTCTGCGACTCCTGCGCTCTCTATTCCGCTCATTTGCTCTATACTCAGCTCATTCCCTCTCTTGTCGTCTCAGTCTCTTCTTCGAGCTATGTAAAGTAGGGAAGCATCTAATTACTTTTACGATGTGTGCTAACCATTAAACACAAGGTAAGCATGTAGTAGCCTTCTTAGATTCAAACTAATAAGTTTAAACGTCAGCTTCTCATATTGATTTGATTACCTAATCCAACCTCTCAAAATTGACAGACTGTTTGGTTTTTTTTATCGCGAAAGTAATTTATTAACCACACGCAATTCAAATAGCTGATTATATTGCAAATCTGTATTTATGTAAAATTACTTTTTGTATAGGCCTTGCGCATATTTTTGTAGCTCACCGCCATCCAACTGTTGTTCACCAGTTTTACATTGGCAAGCATACAACGTCTCAATTTATTGAATATATTTGTGAGTAGAAAACAATTCTTTTGTTTTTTACCCCCGCCCCTAATCAAAATCAATAGCGCATTCTTGTATACTTTGGTATTCTTTATCATCAAAAGCCGTGTTACTTTGTCATGTCTATTGTTTGAAAGTAAGCTAAAGTTTAAAGTAATTGGCACCATAAATGTTATACAAAAGATACTTGTTATAAATACATTTCTACTAAAGAAGAACTACAAAACTTCTTAGAAGTAAACACACTGAAATGCAAACATACAATGTCGCCATCCTCTTTGCGTATTTTATAACACAAACTGCAGTTCTTGTGCCTATATAATATATGGTTTTATTCGGTTACAGCGAGGAGAACGTTTGGAAGCTATGTGAACAGGTTAAACGCACTCGTCCTGAGGAGTTGAGCAAATGCTATGCAGTATTTGTGTCGAATGAGGGACGAACTGTACCGCTCTGGCGCCAAAAAGCCGGACGTGGCGACGATCAAGTTGTGATATGGGTAACTTGTCTTGCAAAACCATACATATACATTTATACACTGCACGCTTATATTTCATTTTATTGACAGGACTATCATGTATTCTTTATGCACAATCCCTTGCCAAACCGCTGTTTGGTATTCGATTTGGATACCACACTACCATTTCCCACATATTTTCATAAATACGTTACTGAGACTTTCCGGTCCGATCTCGCACTGCGACCGGAGCATCACAGGTAAACAATGCATAAAACTGATGCCTACTAGAAGCTTAAATTTCTTAATTTTCCAGATTTTTCAGAGTCATTCCCGCAGATACATATCTAATTGAGTTCTCATCGGATCGTCGACACATGCGACGACCAGATGGTAGCTGGATTAAACCACCACCTTCATATCCACCCATTCTTTCGAACAGTAAATAAATGTTACTGTTATCACCTACACATTTATTCTAATTGTTTCTGTTTTTGTAGCTAACATGCATTGTTTGGGTGACTTCATATGCATGAGCGCTGGTAAAGGACCAGGCGCCGTCTACAGCCTCTCCGAGTTCGTGCAAAACTTTTATAAATCGCCGCATGTTGGCGTGCAGCAGAACAAGTAAATTATCAATAAACACTTATATACATATACTGATATCAGCTTGAAAAAATCATAACTATTTTAGAAAGTTTGTGTTCTTGTCAAACTCGATGGCACAAACGATATGCATTGAATCATAAAACAGTTAATTAAAAATTGCATATATATTATATATACTTATATATATATATAACATATATATATATATATATAATATAATGTATTTTTATAATCAGGTTAATATTAAATATGAGAAAAATCTGTAAGTAAAAAATATTAACTCTTCCGAGTCCTTCAACACCATCTGTAATCAAACTAAATTTTACAATGATTATATAATGTTTTTACATTTTTAATTCTATCTATGTACATTCAAAGTGGCGAGAAAAAACTTAGAGCTGAGAGTTTAATTCGTTTTTTTTTTTTATGACTTTCTACCAACATAATTAAAATATAAAATTAAATATAAAACGCACCAATTACGATTAAAATTTAAATATAAACATAAATGTTCACTCATATTCCAATGAAAAATGCATATACCCACTAACTTACTCTTTATACATCAGAAATCAAATTCGCCTAATCTAAAAGTAAAAACATAAGGCATTGGTCAACCTATGTATTACTTACTAATTAAATTCAATGGTAACTTGTTTTATTTTGGTACAAATGGTACACAAAATTTTATTTTAAATTATGCAACAACAAAACCCATCTTAACTAGTTTTTGTACTGTTGGTACGCCACGGACCCATGACAGCTAAATCATTAATCCGCGATACCTTAATGTATAATTTCCTTAGTCATTTTTGATATACTATATTATAATTACGTATTGCATACTAATTTAATATTTGTGACACGCAAAGACTGATTCAATATACGCTCTACGGTACTAGTAAAAGGTAGGCAGAGCCACCCTAATTACAACGCAAACACCCAGTAGTGGTAAATTCACATCATCAAATTGGCAAATTCAAAATTAATTTGTTTCGTTTTATTACTCTTTAAATAATAACTTCCAAATCTCTGCTTAAAAAGCTTTACCTTTAAACTGTTACTTTTAATAAGTTGACGATATTCGTACTTTTATTACAAAGTAATTTTTACTCAATTTTGTAAGACTCAACATAAACCAATAAAAATTAATTAATAAACAACTTATATATAAATGTTAATGTATAATTCTTACATTAAATGCTGTGCAAAGTCTCAAAGTTAAACCTACACTTTTAATTATATAACTTATAACAATATATTTATAAACAAAACTATTAAATGTTTAAAACGTCACTTGACGCTGGCAAAACTTTATTTACATATGCTATGTATAAGTAACAGGCAATGTTTGACACTCTGCTTAACTTGCTCATCACTCTCCTTCTCTAATTAAAAGATGCAATCTTGTACAGCTTCTTTATTTTTAAACAAAATAAAAGCACAACAAATTTTGAAAAAATAAATATATTCGTGAATACTATAAATAAATGCTTGTATGGATTAAGCAAATTTGTAAAGCTTTTTCTCTTCCCGGTTTTTAAATCCTACATAATGTAAATTACATACATGAAATATAATATTGGGCAAATATTATGTTAACATTGTTATGAAATATTATAAATGTATTCATACCATAAGCAAATAATATTAAATTTATGCGTCTTTTTACTCTTTTTTATAATAATGTATATGACATAAAATACGCATTAAGATGCTGATGGAGTGTTTACAAAGTCAACATAGCCAATGCTATTTTCCATATCATATCAAAAGCGCATGTGTTTATTACTGATAAATTGATTTAAATTGTTTTCGGTTGAACTGTTCATGTTAGGCAACTATCAGCTGAAACGGCCTCATTAGCTTCATTATATAAAAACAAAGCGTACACATATATTTGTAATATAAAATACATTAAAATTGTCTTACATACTTGGTTAAAATTTGTGTACGCCAAATGCATCATGTAGTTAGATAAATTTTAATCCATTTTTTAAAGCGCATAAGTGAAAAGCAGGTAAGAAAATTGCGGTCGAATGTAACCCATTCAGCAAAACTGTTTATAATGGTGTTAGTGGCACTAAACATGTAACTTAAAGGCAGTGGGCATCGTACCGCAAAATAAAAATGTAGATCGGCAGTTAGTGTAGCTTAAATACCGATAAACACACTGAGAGGCAACAAACATTGTTCAAAACCTGCGTTCATTCTTCACTTTGTGAACTTAAGTTAAAAATGTGCCCAATGGATGCTGAATTATCATAATTCGTTTGCTAAGTATGTGTATACCCACTTTTAACATAACATAACATTAAAGGCAATAGAAACAGGTCAACTGTATAACATATTATTAAATCGAGAAACAAGAATCTCAATATTTCAATAAAACTGAAATAACCTAATGCATATATTGGCTTTATCCTTTGTTGGATTATTTATATGTACTATCTTACAAATTATCTATCGAACAAATCATCAATTAATTGTACTATCGTATTGTTATTATTAAATATTTTTGAAAATCTGTAGTATTTATACAATTTATACTGAGTCAATGAAATAAAATTTTACTCTCTAATCTACGAAAATGTGACGCGAAAAAATGAAAATAAATATATTTCACAACATTAAAAGTTAACACACTTAATTTTAACTCTTATTTCACTGTGTTTAGCTAGGAAAGTAATACGTAAATAAGTAAGTAAGTAAGCCCAATCTTGCTTTTATAGAAATACTTGGAAAACAATATTTTTTGGTTCCTTTGGTTAGTGCAACTGTCAATTTGGCATTGAAAACATACTATCGACTTAAAACTTTAGTTTATGAATTCTTGCTACGCTAGAATTAATAGCAAAACCTACTCTACCGTACGAGGGTTATTTTCCATAAGTTTCCCCATCGAGAGCATTCGATTAATTTTTTCTATTGATAGTTCAACCGGCATTTAACTAGAGAAATATATATATAATTAGCATCTCTTATTTTATTTATTTTCCGTTGCTCTGCCAATACAGGAATTAACTAATTCCTAAAAAAAAATCATCAAAAAAGGTTGACTTTACAATCGAATCGGTTTTTGGTCTACCACTTTTTTTAACCCATCGATTTTTAAAATGTTTGAATGCAGATTGATAGTAGGGATCCCTACGAATTCAAAAAGGTATACCATTTGAAAATCGGGC